AATTTTTTTTGACAATTAAATTATTCCAATAATATTTGTTCGTCAATACAATCAATGTAATGTACCAAAAACGTTATTATATCACTATAACTAAGCCATTTATGAGTACTGAGTGGTGTGGTAGAGGCCTGTAGGCATCCATGCCAGTACCGCTTTTCTGCCGCTTAAGTGCATTTTCTATGGAACTGCTTAAAATATTTTAAAAAGTAATCAGTGTTTTAGAAAGAAAAATATATTCTCCAGATGTTTTATTTCAGCATGTTAAATTACAAATGACACTTGATTTACAACTTAAAATGTTTTTGTTGAAAAAATTGATTTTACTGGTGCTTTTTATTGCCTAAGCCAATTATTTTTTAATAGTTTTTCATGTTTTATTGTTCTCTGACTATCCAGCTTTAATAAAAGATCAACTGTGACGAAATTAAGCCAAAGCCAAGGTAAGAGCAGCAGCCTACAGTTCATAAACTATTTGTGCAATTGCAATAGCACAACGATATCCCCTCACATCCATTGACATTAACTCTTAATTCAGCATTAAAATATTTTTTTGTTTATAAATATATGTAGTAGCTGGCCCATGCGAATTCACATAAAATATTAGTCAGAGAACAACTGATATAATAGTATGGCAATATGTTAATGAAATCTATTATCTATCAGGTGGAAGAATTAATTTTCCTTTTCTTGGTCAAATTAAAATAGTTAATTAATAAAAATAAACCAAAACATTTTTACAATTTACTGTAACAACTCCCATAACTTATTCCAACCTGTTCTATAATTTTTGTTACGCTCATCCATTAATTGTGTAGCTGATTTTTCACATATTCTTATCCTTCCTTACACTCTATGCCAAGAATGTGTAATCTTGACAATGTTTGATCACCGAAATGTGCAGTCAGTCTTTGGAAAATCTGTCACTTTAATTTCTTCAGCAAGGAGCAAGGAGTTATAGTCTGTGGGCCAGACCCCCTTACCGTGCACCCCCCCCCTCCCCACATCCCTATAAATTGCATATCGTTGTGTTCCTTGTAACTATTTATTAAAAAAAAGCCAATGATCCCACAAAAAAAAGTGAACGCACTGCCCCAAAATGGCGTCCAAAGATGGCGGATTTACGACTTTGACTTTAGTTAGTTTTTTGGTCATTAAGAATCAGCATTTGGCCTTATTTCCTCATAGTTGGTCTTTTATTAAAGCTAAATAGTTAAAGAATAATAAAACATGAAGAAATATTAAAAAATAATAGGCTTAGGCTATGAAAAACAACAGTAAAGTCAACTTTTCAACAAAAAAATATTCAAGTTACAAATCAAGCGTCGTTTGTAATTAAACGGCCTACAATAACGCAAAACATGCTGAAATAAACAATCTGGAGAATATATTTTTCTTTCCAAAACAAAACGCTGATTATTTTTTAGAAATGTTTAAGCAGTTCCGTAGAAAATGTACTTATCCGGCAGAAAAGCGGTACTGGCGTGGGTGCCTACAGGCCTCTACCACACCATTCAGTGCCCATAGGTGGCTTAGTTATAGTGATATAATAACATTTTTGGTACATTATATTGATTTTATTAAAGAACAAATATTAATGCAATAATTTAATTGTAAAAAAAAAAAATTTAATTTTAAAAAAAATGTATTATTATTTTTTTTTAAATTTAACCACCTTTATTCTATACGTAGGTCGTTTAAGAAGACCGCAATTGTAAAAATGATATAATTATAATAATAAAACTTAATTAAAAAATACTTTGCTAAATATCTTGATTTTTTTTTATTAGATGTTGCAATTTAACACTGTGTTTTGTATATTTACTGATTCTTGAGGTAATTAAAAATTTTATATATACTTCCCAGGAAATGAGTCATATTAATACCTGTTTTATAAACTAAAATAATATATACCTAATCTGAACTACATATAATGAATGGCTACTGGGTTGTTTAGTAAAACTCATATATCATTAATTAAAAAATTAATTTTTATTTCCTTTATTTTGTGCAGAAGTTGGACTATATCATAAATAAATAGGAAATTTTAATATTGAATGAATTATTCTCTATGCATAAAGAAAGGTAGAAAGGGTGAACCTAACTATAAACCAAAACTAATTGTTTGGATTTGATCTCAAAATGAGCAAAAACGCGTATAATACAAATACATTAAGCGAACGAGAAAGGAAGTACCAAAACCTCGGAATAGATAAAAAGGACCAGTATCCATTATATAGCTAAATGAATCTGTTCATCTATCTACTATACATTCATTTAGATATATAATGGATACCAGTCCTTTTTATCTATTCCGAGGTTTTGGTACTTCCTTTCTCGTTAGCTTAATGTATTTTTCCAATTTCCTCGTTTAAGTTCACGTTTTTTCTCATTTTCAGATCAAATCCAAACAATCAGTTTTGGTTTATAGAAGAACTTATAGCATCACCCCTTCTATCTTTCTTTGTGCATAGAGAATAATTCAATATTCAAATTTAAAATTTTAAAAGGACTATATTTATGATATAGTCCAACTTCTGCACAAAATAAAGGAAATAAAAACTAATTTTTTAATTAGTGACATGAGTTTTACTAAACAACCCGGTAGCTATTCATTATATATAGTTCAGATTAGGTATATATTATTTTAGTTTATAAAACAGGTATTAATATGACTCATTTCCTGGGAAGTATATAAAATTTTTAATTACCTCTAAGAATCAGTAAATATACAAAACACAGTGTTAAATTGCAACGTCAAATAAAAAAAAAATCACGATATTTAGCAAAGTATTTTTTAATTAAGTTTTATTATTATAATTCTATCATTTTTACAATTGAGGTCTTCTTAAACGACCTACGTATAGAATAAAGGTGGTTAAATTTAAAAAAAATAATAATACATTTTTTTTAATTAAAATTTTTTTTTTTACATTTAAATTATTGCATTAATATTTGTTCGTTAATAAAATCAATATAATGTACCAAAAATGTTATTATATCACTATAACTAAGCCACTTATGGGCACTGAATGGTGTGGTAGAGGCCTGTAGGCACCCACGCCAGTACCGCTTTTCTGCCGGATAAGTACATTTTCTACGGAACTGCTTAAACATTTCTAAAAAATAATCAGCGTTTTAGAAAGAGAAATATATTCTCCAGATTGTTTATTTCAGCATGTTTTGCGTTATTGTAGGCCGTTTAATTACAAACGACGCTTGATTTGTAACTTGAATATTTTTTTGTTGAAAAGTTGACTTTACTGTTGTTTTTCATAGCCTAAGCCTATTATTTTTTAATATTTCTTCATGTTTTATTATTCTTTAACTATTTAGCTTTAATAAAAGACCAACTATGAGGAAATAAGGCCAAATGCTGATTCTTAATGACCAAAAAACTAACTAAAGTCAAAGTCGTAAATCCGCCATCTTTGGACGCCATTTTGGGGCAGTGTGTTCACTTTTTTTTGTGGGAACATTGGCTTTTTTTTAATAAATAGTTACAAGGAACACAACGATATGCAATTTATAGGGATGTGGGGGGGGGAGGGGAGGGGTGCACGGTAAGGGGGTCTGCCCCATCGTGTATTAGTAATTATGCATTGAGAAGTGGAAGGATGTACCACAGGAAGGGTTACACCACTATCATTGCTGACAAAGTGATTAAAAGTGTGGAAAGACTCTCCCCAGTCCTAATGGTTCCACTTAAACACATTAGAAGCCCAGGACTGGTCAAATGCTATATCTACTTTAACAACCTATTTATTATTTAATTTGATGTGTTAATCAATTATTTCCATGTTGATTCTTAGAACAATTAATAAAATTATATCAGTACACAGATGATATTTCACTTTTAGCAGAGACTACAGATAACTGTAACAGAAAACAATATATCGGTAAAAATAATCAGATTAGTAACACCACTTTGAGCAAACAGTAAGTAAACTCGAACAGTATTCATTAAAAGCTGTGTTTCTCCATGCCCTGTCTTATAGAAGTCATAGTTGGTTGCAGTAGTCAGAAACAAAGAAAGAATCACAGTAGCTGAAAGGAAATGCTCATTCTATCTAAAACAAGGGCAGGCGGAAAATTGTATTAGAAATGAAATGGTGAGGGAAGATTTAGGAATGTAGGTTGTAAGAAGATGCTTTCCACATTAGTCATCTGCAGTCCTTCAGAATTGTTTAAAGGATGAACAAATAATGCAACTAATGGAAGTTTAAACATCAGGCACAAAATCACAAGTTAGGACTATGGTGAAAAAAAAAAAAACAGCTGGCATGGGACTGGTAATTTTTGGCTCAAATGGATCAAAGTTTTTCAAAAGAGAAAGCAAATACAAGAATACAACTTAAAAAACAAAACACACACATTAAAATGCTGTCTAACAAAATCTAGTTATACCTGATATGATAAATTGACCCACATAAATTTAATTTTTTAAAGACACTAGGTGATTAAATTAAATAAGTGATATAAAGGTGGTAGCTGATGCTAGTATCTGTCAACAATACCACCATTCTAGTATCCTTCTTGAACATCTAGGATATCTTATGAACAAGAAGCGTAAGTTTGACGGATTTGTTTGTAGTATTAATAGCTTTGGTTAAAAAAGCAATGTTTTTTCCCATATAATAGGGTTTTCAAGTAATATTTAAAATATTTTTAATAATAGCAAAATGGATTCATTATTCATAAAAATGAATTTAATTGAATGTTCAACAACTGTAGACAAATGACAAACATTAAGAAAACTAAAGCTTGATTTATAAACTATGTTTATATACCTTAAATTTTACTACTTTATAACATGGATATTAAAAGGTTTTGAAGCAAATTTTAATATTAATAATAAAATGCAAACAAAATTCCATGAGCCACAAAATATATGTACAATTGAAAATCCAACGTGCAAATTAATTAAGAAACACCAAAAATAAATAATCAAGTTAGAGAATGCTAAAATCCAGCACTAATTTATCGTCACGCACGCCTATTACCTATTTAATGTGTGAAGATGTAAGTTTAGAGACGACACGTGTTAGAGCTCTGTTCTCGGCTCTCAGCCTTTCATTGTCAGATTTCAATTTTTGTAATTGCTGAAAAATTAACAATGAAGCTTTGATACAGAAATCCTATGTTTGTCACCCATTTATCATCATGTTTTAAACAATATCTTTCCTAAACCATTAATTTATTTTATTAACAATAAAAGAATTTATTTTATTTTTGATTAAATTAAAAATTACCTTCAATTCCTCTTCCATTTCAGAAAGCTTCCTTTCCATGGCCCGTCTCTCCCTTTTCTCAGCTTCTGACAAAGAGTTCCGGTGAGCCTTTAAAAAATCAGATAAATTAAATAATATACTCTCACTTTTACAAAATAAATGTTAAAATTGCATAGTTAAAATATAACAAATATAGTTCCTTAAGGATTTAATTTTTAGACACACTCATTTCTTCCAGTACTGTTAAGTAAGTTATAAATATTGTAACCATCAACCAAGGTGTGTACAATGCAGAGGATTTCAGGATACTCCTTCATATACAAAAGTCAGAGATACATTAATAGTCCGTGGTACAGACACCTTCTTATCAAATTATTAACATCCGGCTGAAACTTTGTAAATAACTTCATCTCATCGTAACTTACAAATATTTTATTTACAAAAATTCTGGGAAATGGGGCGTTTTCAATCTGGAGGTCGGCAAACGTTATCTATTTAATTTGATACTAAAAACTCGTAACCACTGATTTGCTTTCCACCTGGATCATAAGATAATTTGATGACAAAAACAACAAAAAAGGTTGCCTACAAAAATATTGGGCTGTTAAGCCTATAAGATCTCATTATTTTGACAATTTGGGGTTGTAGGTCATACCAAACTGCTCAATATTTTTGTAGGCCATCTTTTTTCCCGACTTTGTGCTGAAGTTATCTTACGATTCAAGTGGAAAGCTGATGCGTATTTACGAGTCTTTAGTACCTAATTAAATAGACAAAGTTTGCTAACTTCCAGATTGAAAACCCCCCAATTCCCAGAATTTTCGAAAATAAAATATTTGTAGGTTACGATGAGATGAAGTGATTTACGAAGTTTCAGCCGGATGTTAACAGTTTGATAAAAAGGGGTCTGTACCACGGACTATAATTAAAAATGGAAACAAACTATGCTAAATTTAACCAAAACCTGAGATGGGGATGGTGGATGTCCTGGTTTGATGGCACTACTGTAACGTACTAAAATACTAACTGGCATACTAAAATCCATGGTTTAAATTTTAAAATTCATCATCTTCATTTGTCACAATATAATAAATCAAATTTTGGATTTCAGATGCCAAAAAATGAGCTTTAGATGGGCATAGGTTTAATTATAATTTTGAAGTTACTCTTCGATCAAACAAACTATAGTCTCTAAAGAATGAAGGACTACACAGCAGGAAAGTATTGTTTTATGTATAGCCTTTAATAATTTAAAAAGTTCAAAAAGAGCAAAATAACTTACCAAAAGAGCATTTTTCTCAGATGTTGTTTTTACTTCTTTCAACTCTTCTTCTGTCTGGTGTAATTTTTCACGTAACCTATCATTTTCGATCAATGACTCCTCATAGAGCTAAATAACATTTAAAGAGAATTAGATTAATGAAATACATAAATTATTAATCAATTTTAATTAAAGAAACTAACCAACAGATCTTTTAATTTAATAGAAGAATCTTATCATTATCAGTTATTCATGTATTTGAATATTCTTTTTTATAGCATTAGCTATTTTATTACACGAATAAGCGAAGTGAAACGAGCGTTATGTGTTTGGATCGTCCGCTAAAAGCAAGGCAGTGCTTTTTTGAGCGAGTGGAGTGGCTGGATCGATTTTTAGGTTGGATTGCTCAAATTATTCGGTGAAATTCCATGAGTGTTTTGACATAATTTGAGCTCAAAATTCTGTTAAATTAATCTGTAAAGTGTGTTTTAATCAATCTATTAAAAGATACATAAAGATTTTTTGAGCGAATGACATGATCGATTTTCAATTTTGACATCTGTAATTACTCAGTTAGATACCATGAATGTTTTGAAACAATTTGAGATCAAAATATTGAGAAAAAAATGTATTATAGTTTGAGTATTATAATATAAGTTTTGAAAATGAACTGTTAATATTTTCAAAACTAAAAATGTAAAAATATTTCAATTTAAAAAAATCTTGACTAAAGAAATTGGAAAATTTTATCCACCCTGAGGGTATATACTTCTATATTGCAAGGTTACGTTCCCTTTGAAAAGTAAACAAAACAGTTTCTGAATCAGATAATATTTATTTTACACAATAATTATTTTTCAGGTTGGGTTGAGACAAAAAACACACATCCTCAATTATACAATATAAAAGCAGACATTAATTGTACATAACATTTATGAATTTCCATTCATTTGTAGGGGTCTAATCTTGGCGCGCTTTCGAACTCTCGCTATTTATATTTCACTCACCCTGTTCTGCAGTGAATCTTGCTCTGTATTGTTGTATCTAACTTCCACAACCTTCTCTTGTTCTTTTATTTTCTTGTCTTCGTCTAGACACTCACATTTTTAGCCATTTACTTCCCCTTCCATCAGTCTTTGTCCTTCTTTGACAGTAGCCCTTGACGTCACTGCCTTCGCGCCATTATTTAAAATCATTATGTAATATTTACATTACAATATCTACTTAAACATCTTGGTAGATTGGTAGAGAAATTGACATGTACGAATATTTAAACTTGACATAGTAGTCTGGTTCTTATCAAACCTCAAGACTCTTTCGGATGTTGACATGCACCAATGCATGGGATGAAATATATTTGCCTAGAGCCATAATGTGTAGTGAAAGGAACCCGACTATTACACCAAGTTAAAATATTCGTAGATGTCAATTTCCCTATCAATCAACTAAGATGTTTCAGTAGATATGGAAGTACATTCCCTCAGTCAACCAATTACCCTATCAATCTACCAAGATGTTTCAGTAGATATGGAAGTACATTCCCTCAGTCAATCAATTACTCTATCAATCTACCAAGATGTTTCAGTAGATATGGAAGTACATTCCCTCAGTCAACCAATTACCCTATCAATCTACCAAGATGTTTCAGTAGATATGGAAGTACATTCCCTCAGTCAATCAATTACTCTATCAATCTACCAAGATGTTTCAGTAGATATGGAAGTACATTCCCTCAGTCAATCAATTACCCTATCAATCTACCAAGATGTTTCAGTAGATATGGAAGTAAATTTCCTCAGAGTGGATAAACTTCTGTAGTTGTTTTTTTTTTTTTAAATTTATATATATATATATATATATATATATATATTATCACATCAATAACAATGAGCCATTCCATGCCAAATAAATCAACCAGCCAAAGTTCAATTTGACATCCATCCCCAGCAGATTTTAATGAAAATGTTTATATATTAAGTATGTACACAAATGAAAAAAAACCAAATTTTATCTAATTCTAATGAATAGTTTTTAAGTTATGGTCATTTGAACTTTTGAGATTTGAGAAACAATTTGATCTTGAAACCTCAGTGTATGTGTTTGGACTTTCATATGTAAAGCCAATACTTGTAGAGCTGGAGCTTTCAAAATTTATTTATTTGTACCACTTTTAAAGCAGAATCAGATAATACCATAAATATTAGTATAGTAATTTTTAATCATGGAGAAAATAAATCTTTCACAAATTAATATTATAAATCTTTCATAACTTAATATGTTTTCCAAAGTTATGATAATATCATGCAAACACCTGTAGCTAAAATCTCCCTCCATTAATCTAGTAGAACCATATATCACTGAAGATAGCATTAAATTCTCTATCATATGACAAAATAACATTAGGGAGTTTTGGAATTTTAAGTTTTATAAAATTAAATAATTAAATTAAATATAGTATAATTCAATTTACAAGTTACATATACAAATAAGAAATAAATGATAAAAAATGATAATCATAAGAAATAAAATGATTCCTCATTATCTAAGGTGTCAACAATATAGGCACACTAAATCCTATTGTAACCAATGACACAATGAGGTGGATTTCACGATACTCCATCATACCTCAAAACCAGCGAAACACCGTCTAAATATATCAATCGCAATGTTCAGTAGCCAGCAAACTACTAAGGATATTAAAATTTGAAAATCATTGGCTCTATGTGGTTCAAGAAATTGTCAGTACCTAAACTAAGCCATTGCAGGGAACTCCAGATTCTCCAAAAAAATTCCCACCTCTCAGGCAATGCCTCAATCAAATAGAACCAGAGAACACCACTTAAACTGACTGTATTAGTACTCCTGGACTTCTCCAAAGCATTCGACTCCTTAGACCATTCTATCCTCTTCAATAAATTAAAATCTCTATCCTTTTCCAATAGTTCTATCCAATGGTTCCAATCCTTTCTTTCTGACAGGACTCAAGCCGTTAGGTTAGTATTCCGAATCAACCCTTATCTTCTTTCCTCTCTTTGTCTCATGGAGTAGCCCAGGGTTCAAGCATTTCTCCTATCCTTTTTAATTCTTACATCAATGACCTTCCTAGTTCAATCCACCATTGTTCATACCATCTATATGCTGATGACTCCCAAATTTATTTTTCCTTTCCGTCCACTGAGTTATTAGAAGCGTTTACGAATATTCAGAGAGACCTAGATAGGATAAGTGCCTGGGCAAGCTTGAATAAATTAAAGTTGAATGCAACGAAAACTCAGGCCATTCTTATAGGTTCCAACTCCCTCCTTACATCCATTTCCACCCAGCCTTCCTTGAATATTAATGACCAACCAATCTCCTTTACCTCCTCTGTAAAAAACTTAGGAATTACCATTGATCAAAACCTATCATGGAAACCCCATATTGCTCAAATCTCCAGAAGGTCAATTGGTACTCTTAAATTATTTCATCGTTCTCGTCAGCATCTCCCACAACCTATCCGCAGGCTCCTCCTTTCCTCATTGATTTTCCCCTAATTTGACTATGGCTGTGTGGTATATGCTGGCCTCTCGTTGGAGCTTGAGGACAGACTGAAGAGAATCATGAACTGTTTTTTAAGATTCGTCTTCGGCACTTCGAGATGGTCTCATGTGTCCCACCTATATGCCGAGTCAAAGTGGCTCTTCCCCTCTTCCCGCCGCCTATACTTCCTTGGAAATTTCTTATACCAAACGATCAACTCCCAGCACCCTTCCTATATCTGTTGTCTCCTCCAGCCTAAACCCTTAGTCCACTCAATAAAAACGAGATCCCGTGTTTCTGACCTCTATATTCCATTCCACAGGACAAAACCCTATGAACGTTCCTTCTTAGCCCGTTCCGTCTCCTACTGGAATTCTTTGCCACATAACATCCGTCATGCCTCTTCCCTGTCAACTTTTAAATACCTCCTTTTCCAATATCTCCTTACATCCCAAACAGAAGATTTACCACCATAAATTTCATTTTATGAACTGAATTTGCATGAAGAAAATAGTGGTGCCTACTGTTTAAGTTTTAACATAAAACAGCAATGATCTTTGTCACCTAGTTTGACTATTTATGTATTTTTCTCTTCTCCTCAGGTTGTGCTTTTTCTTTCGGGTATATATGCTTATATTTTATATTTTTGTCTTTATGTGTGCCAATATGAGAATGTATGTATAAATAGTTCCTTTTATTTATTTTACTTATTTTTTTTCCACTACACCACAAGTATCCTAAGATTTTATTTTATCTTAGTGTCTGCATATTATTATATAAACCACTGTAGATATTATTACATTTTGTATTAAGTTAGTTTTCTATTAGATAGCCTATTGTTTATGAATTGTGTAGTTATGTATATATAAATATGTAATTTCTCTTCTTTTTTTTTTCATCACAATTAAGTAATTCTAAGATTTTATGTTCAGTTGTATATATATTTTATTTTTTATTTTTTACTGGTTACATACTTTTTAAATAATGTATATAATATTAAAATTTTTAGAAGTTGGTTTTTGGCCAGATTTGTACTTTACTTTGTATTAACTCATCATTGTTATTCTAAAGGGACTTAGTCCCAGAATAAAGTTTAATTTTCTATTCTATTCTAAACCAGCAGCCATGAACAGGTATATAGAAGTGACATTGCAGAGCCAGTAACTCCTGTTGGTAATGACTCTACCATGTCATATACAGCAATTAATGAGTTAGCTAAACTCAGAATTAAGCTTAAATTTAATAGTTTTCATTTTTATCTAAAGGGCAGCAATAAATACAATAGTGAAGTTTAGATCTTATTCAATTAATACATGCCATTTTTCCTGGTATATAAAGTTGAATAATTAGATTAGGTTATGTCTGTACGATAAAATGTTAATCATTAACGATATATCAATATCTTCTTTCAACAAAGTGATGGTTTCTTGCAATATTTTTTATAGAAAATATCAGACTGATGACAGAAAGAATATAACAAGATATTATTTTCAGAATTGATGGCGTATCTCTGATTTTAAATGTATTACTTATTATTTGTGCTATCATTTCACTTAAAAATATCATGCATTTGTAATGAAATCACAACAGGTAATGTTTTATAACTGGATAATTATTGAATTAGCACTTGAAAAACACAAATTGATTTTTTTCAATGTTTGGATTTCAGTATTTACTTGAGATTTGAATGGAAGCCAAAGTAGAAAGTGGAATTTGATAGAATTTATAGATCTACCAACTTTCCACTACCTTTGAGCCAAATTCAACATGGTGTTGAAGCTGAAATATGGGTATATCCAAGAAAATACATTTGTATATGCATAAGCGAAAATAGTAAATGAAATGTGACGAAATGTATATGGAAAGCTCCATCTCCAAAAATTTCATGAAAATCACATAATCGGTTGTACATTATACAAACACAAAAGCAACTATTTTTTAGATGTCTGAAACTCAAATTGTGAGTGAAAATGTTTGATTATGTAGACAAACTTTGTAGTAACATTCTGCTGTAATACAAACTTCCCTAAACTTTGGGGGTTAAAAACAGTTTTGATACGTACATTTTTAAATTTTAATTAATCATTTTGTTAGAAATACATTTTTGGAAGATCTATTGACAATTTTTCAGGAGTAATAAAAGTATTATCAAAATTTATGTTGCTTTTGATATGATAAACATCTACATAGGTACTAGGAACATTGAATTTGCGAAAACACAAAAATGGAGCCAATTGGTAAACTATTTCACATCATTATATATATATATATATATATATATATATATATATACAATGGATATTATTGGAATGTAAAATTAATATAAAAATTAAATTAAAATCCCTTCACTAAAACTAAAATATAGATCAATACCTTCTTATAGTCGATAATTTCTCCATTTTCATTTAATACGCGTTCATGGGAAGAGTTATTGCTATTAACACTAGAAGGCACAGATTTCAACCTAGATGTTGCCTCTGAATCATCTCCACTCTGAAAGCATATTAAACATTTGATAATTTGGTGAGTAAATAATATAAATAGTTCTGCCAGGAGTTAAAAAGCAAGCAAACATGTCTGAATTATAAAAACACTAGTTAACCTATTAAACGCACATAATGTACTTATAAATTATGTTTAGTTATAAATGTACTTCTTAAGAATTAATAAGAGTTAATGATATCCCGAATTATTTACTTGAACAAAATTTTGCCTTAATCAATTTAAAGTTTTAATTTAGCTATAAGCCAATCTTTAAAATATTTTAATCAAAACATTTAGCATTGAGAATATACTACAAATCAAATTGATAGATAGTTATAATGAAATCACAAACCAAATTTAATTATTAAAGTCTGATTTCAATACAAGCATTCAAACATAAAAAAAATAGTTTTTAAAAATTATTTTGGGATGCAATCTCGCGGTAATCAAATAAATTTTCATACAAAAGAAATATCAATAACAAATAAACAATTGGAAAACATAGTGATAAATGTATTTATAAAATTATATCAGGGAAATAAATTTTTAGAATATTATTAATAGTGATAATTGGTAAATATTATGGTCAAATAAAAACATTCAAAGGGTGATAAATATTCAAGACACAGTCTTTTATAAAAAAAAGACAGCGTCCTGAATATTTATCACCCATGATATGTAGAACAGTCAACTAACTTCCTTCAATAATTCATCAAAAACATTCAAATATTGAGAACAGTAAAACAATTAAAAATTTTTTGTTTTATGAAATTGAAATGTTTGACAAAATATTTTTTTAAATTTAACTTAGAATTTAGGAAACATTAGCAACATGATGGTTCACAAATAAGAAAAGCTATAGCTTTTTTATCTCAATCTAGGCCACATTTTAAATTATATCTGTTAAACAAGTTTTGTCTTAGAGAAACTTAATCAGCTCAACTCTCTTACTTGATATCCTTCAGACAGAAGACTTTTTGCACTACCACCAACTGAACGCGCTCTCTGTCGAGAACGATGCCTATTGAAACTACTTGATCTGCTTGGAAATTGAGAAGGTGTTGGACTTCTAGAAAGAGGTGATAATGGAGACAGACCAGGAATAGAAGGAACAGACAAATTAGGCTTTAAAAAACTTGAAGACGGAACAAATATACCACCATAACCAGAGGAAGTTCCTCCATAATATGAAGAAGAATTAAGGTATGGTGTAGAAGAAGAAAGATTTTTACTATAACCTGCAAGTTTTAAAAGCAATCATAAGAACTTAAATGAAGCAAATAAGTTATCTAATAATAATAGCACTTTTTGAGATAGATAACATGAATATAAAAACTCTTAATTCTTTCAAACAGTTATTGAATAAAAAGATTTTCCTTTTTTTTTTAGACAATAAATATCAAGAAATTAAAATAATTTTATTTTAATTCAATTTATAAACAGTTATTACAATTCAGCAAATAAAAAGGATGAAACATACTGATTGCAACTTGGACACCTTGTTTGTAACAGGGGATGAAATTTGTTTTGGATGTCATTGCTTTCAGAATTTAGTTTTAAAGCACCACCAAGCATTACATCAGTTCTACTTAGAAATGTTGAATAAAACTATTGAAAAAACATAAAGTTGTAAAACATTATCAGAGCTCACATAATCAACCAGCAAATGAATTTTACCTGATTCCATTATCTATTTAATAGCATGAAATGTTTCATAGTAATAAACTATATCTTACTACAGGTAATTAGTCAGTCGAGTAATAAGTAATTTATCTACACGACAAATAATAATATTTAAACAATACATATGTATGTGTAGTACGTATTATCCCATTGGTGACCAGAATCTTTTTCTTGTTACTTTCGATAATACTTAACAACACTTCTGATCAGCCTGCAATTTAATGTTAAAAGAGAGAACAAATAAATAAATGAGTTATTTAATGCCTGAGGAATCTCTTGACAATCTGATAATACATTTCATTGACAAATATTTACTAAAAAATTTTTTAAATGTTATTCAACTCAAGTTAACACATGAATATTGAGAAATCAGGATCCGTTAAAATAAAAATGATTTGATTCCAATCCAGGAACTCTAAAATTATCTTTATGCCAAATCTTGGCAGACTTTTCAGCAAGGAATACTGATAAAACAAAATCTATTTTGTACAATTTTGATTATATAAAGATATTAACTTCAAATACTTATGGTATCATCATATACATGGTATACATATATAACACAAAATAAAAACTTAGATTTAATGAACTCATCACACAATTAATTAATATTTATTTAACTCTAGAAATTTGTTGTAGTCTATACACAAAACAAAATAAAGTCTAAATAACAAGAAAAAATAACATATATTATCAGATTCAAAATGATTACACACATTTAACAAAGAGAACTGAATATAAACTGTATTTAAAATTTCCAAAAATACAACCAATCCCACTGTAAACAATTACAAGGTTGTCCAAGGAAAGAGTAAAATTAAAATTTCTTCAAATAAATTTATTTTAAATAGTTTAACTGAACTAAGAATTCACATCTTTATAAATGTTTCATCAGAAATAATTAAAAAAATCTTTCGAATTAATAACGAAGTTTATTTAAAAATTAATTATAATTCTGAGGAATTTAGCAGTTAACAAACTACACTTACATAGCAGATCATGAAAATCTAATTAAAATTTATATTTTATCTGTTGGTCAAATAAATAAAGACAAAAATATAATTAATTAGGAAATAATTATTTTTAATTAATTATATGTTTTATTTATTAATCTCATAATCTCATAAACTGATATCACAGCAATTAAATGTAGCTTAACGCATATTTCATGAATTTTTAGTTATTGTTAAAATATATCTATTAAAGACTTATTATAATAAAATTGATTTTTGTTTAAAAAATGCTGTCTATGACAACCAGCGTATAAGGGTTGAGAGAAAGTAAAATATTTTAAATGAATATTCGCTGTGAGTAATTACAACCTCCTCCTAAATGACTGAAAGAAGGGGATGAGTACAAACTGGAAGGTCGAGAGGAAGATGAACCAATCTTCCTGTAGCTGCTGCCTAAACCATACGACATCTTGTTAAATACTGAGTCAAGAATAGTTTAAGACTCCCCACCTCCACCTTTAAACCTTGTTTCCCACCCACATCCAACGTCAAACATTAGTCATAAACAAATTTTAAACCAAATAATTCAGGCAATGACTCCATATCTTTTTGCTTTCATGTTTAAAATAAACAATGTGTTGCAAACAAAAATGAAAACAAAAAATACAAATCTCGCATCTGCAAAAAATACTTTACCATTCTGTACTTTATTAATTACCACAGACGTAAATTACATACACTAATATCAAATACAGATGGTATGATTATATCTGAGTAAAGTTGTATGTTTATGTTTATAAATGAACTAAGGTAAAAACAACTAATAAATCATAAGAAATTGAAAACAATATAAACTGATATTTTAAGTACAAATTGTTAAATGCTTATTAATACTACTGATAATTAAATAATTTATGTTTATTAATAATACTGATACTTGTTATTAATTGAAATTATTAAACGATTATAAATATTTGTTTTTATCAGATGATTACATTAAAAAGTAAGATAATTAATTTATGACCTAACAAATATTAATATAAATTTAAAATTACATTAAAATATAGGAACAGAAGGGAGTTAAATTAGAAGAGAATAATTTACAAAGGTCAACCAGGAAAAATAAAGTTTTGAGAGACCATTACTTAGTAAATAAGATAGAAGAAAAAAAAAAAAAAAAAAAAAAAAAACTACTACTTATTCAGAAAAAAATAATAGGTAACTACTATTTAAAACATTATTCTCTCATATTTTAAACTAAATTCAGAAAGATTAATACATTCATATAAAACATTATTTTTAAACAATAAAAGATGTGTTTACATCAAGGAAAATTTTAATAATTATAAGAATGAAAAGTAAAAATGGCACAAAATACACAAAGAAACTATTAGGTATACTTATTTTTAACTGGCCTACTTATAATTATACCAAATAAAATCTAAAAACCTTGACCCCTTTACTCTGGAAATGCACATTTCTTTAAAAATATAAATACTTGATATTATATTTATATATATTCAGATGTGAATGAAGAACAATATACAAACAAATTTTTTAAATAACAAACAAGGCTTTTCACAGTGTCAAAATGAAGTATGTAAATAGATATATGTATTATCTTGAAAAAAAAATATCTGGTTCGGGAAACACACAATTTTCACTTACCAATCTACTTTGAGTGCTTATACAAGTAGTAAAAAGTCTTTAAAATACATATTAAATTGAGATAAACCCTGATGAACACATTTTTTTTATTTTGTCCATATTTATCAATGAAAAACTCATTAAGACCATCAAAATAACACAAATTTTATTATATAGACTGTAATCAATGAAAATCTCATAACTCCGACAGTTTATAACCACATAACTGCAGTCTCTGAGTTGTGTACACAAACAGAGGTTAGAAAGTTACAGAGATATATTTTTTTCTATTTTATGGACTAAGTTTAATTCAGGTACAGGGAGCAGGAGAAAGAAAGAACCAGAGGATTGGCGTGATTTTGTGTTGAAGAATGAAATGAGTGTATTTGTTGTGGATGTAGGATTTTACTGTTGGGGTGTTTAAGTCGTTATTTACAGTATTATTTAAAACATATCAAGGTGCATTAACAATTTTTCTTAGAATTTTTTATTGTGCTGTTTGTATTTTGTTTATGCGTGAAAAAAAAGAAAAAAAAAAGCTTAAGTTGAAAACTCATTTTAAGTATTGAAATAATTTAGGCTGCATTAGTTTTTCATCATACATATACTCATTCTACAATTTCCATTTAGGCCATTATCTTATCTTCAGACCATTCTAATAAGACTAATTAAAAATTACTATCAAAATTTAATTAAATAGTAATGCTAATCTTCAATTATATTGAG